CTGCTCTGTTCTGACTCAGACATGGGTGAAGTAACTTCTGTGAGTGTCTAAACCCTGCTTTGTTTTCTTGCCTTTAAACTTCCATTGTCATCCATGGGAGGTGTGTTGGAAAAGCAGGCAGGACTTGGTCTATTCAGCTGAAAGCATTATATGTAATTTGAAAGTTATTGAGCAGAACTGGTTGGAATGTTAAGAACATAAGAATGACCCTATGGGTTCATACACAAAAGTCCATCTATCCCGATATCCTGTCTTCTGACAGTGGCCAATGCAAAATGCCCCAGAAGGAATGAACAGAACAGAACAAGTAATCATCAAATGATATATCCCCTGTTGCCCTCTCCTAGGTTCTGGCAAACAAAGGTTAAGGACTTCATCTCTGCCCATCCTGGCTGATACCCATTGGTGGACCTATCTTCCATGACCTTATTAAGTTCTTTTTTGAAGAACCATTGCTGAAATAAACAGTTTGGCTGAACCCGAATCAGTTTCTATGAAACTAGGGAGAGAAGGGGAGAAAGAGAGAGACTGTGTTGCTCAGTGGTTATGGCACTGGACTGGAATGTGCAAATTCCTGATTTGGAATGATCTGGGATAACAAGAAACTCTTCTAAATCAGGCAGAGCAGGTACTTGTTTGCCATCCCCGGGTCTCTTGCCAGCAGCCCCCAGACCCCGTGTGCCCAAGCCGTGGCCTTCGCCCCGCTCCTAGCCTGGAAGCACGACCCAGCCTTGCCGCCAGCCTCCTGCCCCACCCCGGCCGGGCAAGGGGGGACAGAGCATCGCACGGCACCGCACCGCTGGCTTTGCTGGGGGCCCAAAGCAGAGACTCAGCAGGAGGGCTGGGTGGCCCAGGAGCGGTGTCCACATGCCGGCAAAGCCCCATGGCCCGTGCTGGAATCCCCGCGCGCCGCACAGGGGCATGCCCCGAGGACAGGCATTCAGTGCCCCCCCCACTGGAGCCAGGCATCCTACTGGCACGTCCTCCACAGGGAGCTGGTGCCCGGCCTCTGCCTCGTCTCCCTGCGCTCCCCTTCCACAGCCCCGCCCCGAAGCAAGTCAGGCCCAGCGCAGGAGGAAACGGGACGTGAACAGCGCGTGCGAGTGAGTATCCCACCGCCAGCTGGGCAGCCCGCACAGCAGGAGGATCAGCGACCCTGCCCTGGTGAGAGGGCAGCGCCCAGGGCTGAGTAGGCCCCTGGGGCGGGGAGGCCACAGAGCCCGGGAGGGGCTGGGCCTGGCACTAAACAAGGGGGATGCTGCTCTGCCCAGAAGCCGGCAGGGGGCCCTGCTCTGGGGCTCTCTGTGCTCTGATCCCCTGCAGCAGGCTCGCTGGCTCCTGCCCTGCACACGGCGAGTAACCGGCTCCTTCTGGCCACCAAGACCCCAGTCAAAGCGCCGCCCCCCGCCAGCAGCAAGGCCACTTCCCAGACCTGCCCCCAAAGCTCCTCAGTGTAAAATCCCATTTAACAAGTTAACCGGGGGGAGGGGGGGCTCTCCAGTGCAGCACCCGCCGGCCAGGCTGGGAAGGGGGCTGCACCAGCAAGGCTGCGCCCCCAGCCCCTTCACCAAGCAGGAGCATCCACCTGCCCACGTCTGCAGAGGCTGCCCCAACCCCCACTGGGTATTTACCAGTGAACTGGTTAACCCTCCCCCCTCCTTCGCTCCCACCACATCTGGAAAGCATTCCCACCCTGCCTCAGAGTGGCACAGGCCCCGTGGCAGCCGGGAACGGGCTGAGCTCTGCCCAGGTGCACCAAAAGGGAAGCGCCCAGTCCCCCTCTGGCCGTGGGGATGAAGACGGTTCCAGGAGAGCCCCGCGAGCGTCCTGCTGTGCCCCGCGCCGTCCGCAGGTCTCTGGAGAGGAGAGGACGAGTCCCAGGCCAGGCCAGTGCCACGTCAAAGCAACACGCCCTGCGGGGCCGGCTGTCTCTTCAACCCCCGGGGCAGCCAGCAGGAGGGCTGGCCTGGCTGCCTTGCCGAGGGTGGCCCCGAGTGCTGACAAACCTGGCTCAGCCCCACCCCCCGCAGCAGTGCAGCCCCCGGCGGGCTCCGTTCCTCCCAGGTGCTCTGAAGGGCTGAGCGGGAGCAGCGGGCGCCGCTGGCTGGGGGACCTGCGGGGCCGGCTGTCTCTTCAACCCCCGGGGCAGCCAGCAGGAGGGCTGGCCTGGCTGCCTTGCCGAGGGTGGCCCCGAGTGCTGACAAACCTGGCTCAGCCCCACCCCCCGCAGCAGTGCAGCCCCCGGCGGGCTCCGTTCCTCCCAGGTGCTCTGAAGGGCTGAGCGGGAGCAGCGGGCGCCGCTGGCTGGGGGAGCACGGCCATGGCCTGCTCCAGTACAGCTCCGGGAGGGGACGCCCATGGCTCCTGCCCTCCTGGGGCGCTGGGACATGCTAGCTGAGGGCACAGCTGCCAGGCCACGGCTTTACAGGGGGCACGGACATGAGACAGGCAGCACCCTCCACTCCCAGGCCCCGGCCCCCACGACAGGGAACTGCCCTCCCGGCCCACAGCACCTCTGCAATGCACCGCGGCTGCCCTGGGCCGGGCACTGGGACAGCGCTGCCCGGACAGTGCCCGCCAGCAGCTCAGACGCCCACTCACACACCAGGCTCGCTCAGGGCCCTTGCTCCAGCTAGTGGCTGGGCTTTGGTGGTGGTGGCCAGGCCTGGCCCTTTGCCCTCCCTCCCCCACGTACCGTTTTGTAGAAGTGCTTCGAGTGCAGCCCCAGCACCTCCGACTTGGCCACCAAGTCGTCCAGCTTCTCCCCGCGCTCCAGCAGAGACTCCATGGTGTTGTGCTGCGGAGAGACCCCACAATCCCGGCCAGCTGCTGTTACGGCAGCAGAGCCAAGCAGCTTTGCTTTGCCCCAGCTTAGCGACTGGTGCCCATCCCCAGAGCCCTCGGGGCTGCCCTCGCCAGCCAGCAGGCCCAGGAAGCACCAGGCCAGCTTGCACTCAGGACACAGGCAGAGCCGTGTCAGGCCAGGGCTGGCCCAAGGAAATCCACCGTCAGGAGCACGGGAGGCCTCACATCAGTTAGTTTTATGGGCTCGAGACTCCCTGGGAGCCGGGCTCCCCCCCCTCGGAGCCCGGGCCTGGCACTTGTGACCCAGCCTGCTCTACGTCACTAGTGTCAGATTCCAGCACGTCTCTCCTTGGCTCCCCGCTCACCAAGGGATGGCTGGGAACCCGCCCGGCTCACGACAGTCGGGCTGTCCCAAGAGCGCTGGGCAGCGCGGAGCCGGGCGCAGCTGTCCTCAGGAAGGGACACAGGGAGCACGCAACAGTCCCCAGGCCCGCTCTAGGCCAGCGCCCGGTCCCACCGCACCTCCTCGCGGCCTTACCAGAATGATTTTGGTCTCGTCCAGCTCCGCTTGCACCTTCGTCATGGCATCCGCCTCCCGGGGATTCTGGGAGAGCAAGAGCACAGCACGTTACCGGGCGCCCAGCGTCGGCGGGCCCATGAGCCCAGGGGCTCTGAGCACAGTCCCCAGGCCCGCTCTAGGCCAGCGCCCGGTCCCACCGCACCTCCTCGCGGCCTTACCAGAATGATTTTGGTCTCGTCCAGCTCCGCTTGCACCTTCGTCATGGCATCCGCCTCCCGGGGATTCTGGGAGAGCAAGAGCACAGCACGTTACCGGGCGCCCAGCGTCGGCGGGCCCATGAGCCCAGGGGCTCTGAGCCGGAAGCGAGACTCCCCCGCCAAGCGCTCCAAGGCCTACACGGGCAGGGCCCC